AGCTAATCCATACTGTCACAAGTCTCACGTGTATCAATAAGAAAGTAATAATCGATATATGAATATTTCGTCATAATTTCCTTTTCATTTAAAAATAGTCATTTCAGTGTATATGCAAATTACATAAAAATAAACATAGCCACGAAGAAGACGAAAAAGCAGTTAATTTTCATTAAAAAAATGTGAAAATGAATGTAGCTCAGACTTAGTAAATGTGTATGCCATTTCAAGTAGTCATATTTTCCCCTTCTTTTTATTTATATACGAAGGTTGATATTTCTTCGCTTTCATTAGGTTTTTATTTCTTCCCAATCCCAATATATTTGTTTTCGCGATAGAAGGTAAGTTTATTGAATGAAATATTGAAAGTTTTACAAGTTCTAAATATAAATCAGTAATTTTTTTTCCTTGCTAATGGCATAAAACCCCAATTAAAGAATCCCATATACTTAATAAAAATCTTTATTTAATGAGAAAAGAAATATTATTCGAAAATATTAAATATATTTTACCGTAATTTGTGTAGGGGAGACCGGGGCAACTTCGGCATGCGGGGCAAGTTTGTTAAGCGCTTTTTTTTAAAAATAAATTAAAAGGAGACTTTTGTTATAGGTTAGGCAGTTGAGTTTCATTGGTGGCTTGTTGAGTGTAGTGTTTTTATTGTTCTCCAACAAGCGTAGTTGAATTATCAAGCAAATTTTCATTTTCGTTGAATTCCATATAATATTTTTTTTCCATTTATATTGAATTGGCAGGTTTTGTTATAATTCCATGATAACGAAAGTTACTTTTCCTGTTAGAAGGATGTAACTTCAACTTATTCACGTGGCCAGATCGTGGCTTGGCATTCTGTTCTCAGGGTTGTACTTAATGTTTCGAAATCATGACTAGCGGGGTAAGATCGGCAACATAAAGCCACATTAGAAGCAAAGGATAAAAATCAAACAGATGATAAATGAAAACATGTTTGCATTTGTTATTCATGTATATATGTCTTTGAACTTGCATTTCGTTGTAATAATATTAAATGGGTGTTGGATTTGTATTTCTTTGTTTTAATAGTGAATTCCAACTTATACATTGTTAATAACATAATTTTATATACGTGCCTATCTTGCCCCATTACTGTTGCCCCTATACCAGGGGCAACTTTAATAAAAATAATTAAAATAATTACAACTTTACAAAAAGAGAGAAGTTGCCGATCTTGCCCCTATACCCGGGGCAACTTCGTCAATTTCTCTCTTCTTGTAAAGTTGTAATTATTTTAATTATTTTTATTTCCAAACTGATTTTAACCAGTTCTATAGTAAGAAAACATTCAAATAGACAATATGCAAAGCTTTTTTTTCAGTTTACAGCACTATTTATTACACAAAATTTAAGTAAAGCCAAACATGCCGATCTTGCCCCGGTCTCTTCTATATATGGAATTACTTATACGCTTCTCTTCCTTTTCCACCCTGGAAGTTATGATTTAGAAGATTATACTAAAGAAATAGACAAAATATTATACTTTTATAGCATCTTCAGGGTAATACAATTGAATAAAAACGTATATCTATAATATTGATATGCTATATATACTTCGGTTTAAAGAAACATTCGTCTAACAGACACATTAATTTTCACATAGAAAAACTGTTATGACACGTATAGGCGATGAATATCTTATATAAATAAAGCCAATATTTGCAAAAATTAAAAATAATTTTACGTATATTCACAAATATTTATTTGCCTACCGTTACTAATTTGTTAAAATTTGTGATAAAATCAGTGACTTATTTTATCACTCATTCTACAATACAAATTTTTTATCATCTAACTGAGTGACACAATTGATAGCAGAAACGGAAGCTACGTCGACTTCCTCGCAACTTATCTGGCGACGTATTATGTGGTTTAGAAGTTGTTCAATGAATAGATTTGTTTTTAATGTTTAAAACACACTTCGTGAGCGATGTTTTTGATAATGAATAGTGACCGAAAAGTTGGTATAAAAAGCGATTTTCACATTTTTGTTTCTCGACGTTTACCAAATTTGTAAATGTAGTCGGAACCTATTATAAAGAAAAGAGAAAATGTTTGTATTTGGTATTGTCTGACAGAACCTTGTATAAATTTTCTAAGTAATTTATTCTAGCAATGTTCTGCAAATGAGTTTAGATCAGAATAAATTACGACTTTTACCACTAACTATTGACAAAAAAGGAAGTAAATTATAAAGAGCGAAGAAAAATATAGCAGTAATAAAAAAATCAAAACTGAAAGTAATGACTTGTTTAATTCAAACAATTATAAGAAATAAATAAGTCGGGTCTTTAATGTCACATTTTCGACTTAATGTAGCATAATAAAATTTAAAATCGTCAATTTTATTGTTATTGTCGATTGGTACTTAGGTTTACGTACATAGCTTTTTAACAGCATTCAATTATTTGTGAAAAATTTTTCTTTTTTTTACAAATACGAAAATAATTGTATTTACAGTTGAAATATTACAAACGAAAAAATCTGTAACTTTCTTAATTAATGTCATTTATAGAAAGAAATTCGAAAAATAAAAGTAAATACTTCTCTTTTGTTTCTTAAGTAGTAAAAACTTTCATTGTTTCTTTTAATCACAGCATTTTCGGCAATGAAAAAATGAAAAAAATACATTTCTACTGTTTCCTGTTGTAGTTTTAAAGTTCATTTTGATTTTGGAAATAAAAAAATTTGCTGCGTTTCAATGGAATAAAATAATATAAAAAAATTGCTTTTTGCTCTTGGTATAATTAAACTAATTAAAAATCTACTAATGTGAGGTAGATAATAAGGACTTATCACATCCGTTTTTGTTTTATTAAATGCACTCCATTGATACCTGGTGTTTGTGCATATTATCACTGGAATAAAATAATTTATTTTTGTTGTATACAGTTAAAAAGTAAATTTAATACATTTGTAAAGAATTTCGACCACACATTTTAAAAAATAATTATGAAATATTTTTAATTAATAAATTCACACTTTTGTACAATAATATATTTGTAATAAAATACAATCTAAATCGATTGAAACGCTTTCAAATAATACATGTATATATAAGCAATGCGGTAATTAATAGGAAATTAATAAAGTTTTCAATTAATTTTATAAAATTCTGTTAAGAAACGAGAGGAGAATAAGTTAGAAATGAAAATAAGTAGAAGAGGATATTTTATGTGACGCATTTGCATCTCAAAAACCAACTTTTTATTTTTCAAGTTTATTTCTTTAGACTTTACAGTAACAACTAAAATTTTCTGTCTTTGTAAATTCATTTTTAAACTTACTTTTTCTTACTTTTAAATTTTTATTACTTTTTTGACGTGGAAAATATATAATTAAATTAATTCAACTTTAAAACACTTCCAAATTTTTATATTTCAACTTTTATTAAAAATTCTATTTTACTTTTTTAAAATAATTAATATAATAAATAAATGTACAACAGATGAATGATTTCTTTCAAATTATCATTCAGTCGGAATCAGCAACTTCCTCACTTAAAAATGACAGATTTCCTCTTTCCATGTTAAATTAAAGAAACTAAAATCATTTAATTTTTTAGTAATAGTTTCAAGTATTTTATTTCTTTTATACTACCAGATGAGCCCAGCGTTGCTCAAAAAAAGTAATGATAGCGAAGATTATGATTATTACGTTACAGTCGATCTCACCCGTTTTTGCAGGGTGAAAAATACAGGTTCCACTATTTCGAAGCTAATTAGAAAACTTTTAGATTAGTCGAAAAACATGTTCAATTTCCAGCAAAAGTAAAAACACCGCGTCTAAAATACTACAGTAGAATACAATAAAATATCTGATCTCGACTTCTATCTATTTAGCATTGTTTTCGAAAGTCAAGTAATTCGTTGTGATGTCACAGATTGTGGCTTAAAAAGATCTAGTGATCTGTCGTGAAATTACAATACCGACTGATATGACGTAGGAATAACACGTCACGCTGTATCACGTGAAAACGCCTAGAATCGCTTACGGTCTAGGTTTGACTGGTTCACATTGTGTGGATACTACTACTGCATTATACTTTGTTATGTTGATTGTGAAAAACTTTTAGTTATTATAAAATAGCATAAAGCTTAATTTTGAGTGTAGGGATGAGTAGCATTCAATATTATAAAAGCTAATAACGAGTAAAATCGTTATAAACTCCGATCCTAGTAGAGATAAGTGCTGACTATGATTAGAACACAAAGTACAATGAAGAAAGAAAAAATTAAGGTCATAAACAGAAAGATACAATCGAAATGAAATGAAAAGTTAGCAGAAACAGTTTAGAAACCAAAAGTGATAATTGTCTTAACGAAGGGAATTAAAAAAAAAGTCAATAAATAAGTCGTGTCTTTTATATGACACTTCCAACTTTATGTTGCACATTAAAATATACAATCGACCATTTGTAAATTCTACAATATTCAGAATTTAAAAACAGGCAACTTGATTCACAATTGGAGCATACAGACGTGTAGTCTAACTGTATATTTAGAATATGTGTATGTAATAAATCTCTTCAATAAAATAAGTTACACTTTTTATAAATATCGCAAAATTCATAATAATAGAAATAATTCGAATTCTTTGTTACTATATGAGCGAAACGAATAACGAGGAAGTTAATCAAAAATTATGTCATCGTTATCTTCAATAGGAACAAGAAATAATGAATCATTCTAATTATTCTCGTAATTAATCTGCTTTAGCTGTCAGTCGACAACGGAACAACAAATGCTAGTGTAATGCGCACAGACTCCCGTCTTACTTAAAATAGAAAAAACGACAAGACTCTCAGCAGAAAAAATGAGGTTGGTAATTCTTTTTCCATTCCTATTATCTCTAGTAAATTGCTGCCAAGATTTCTGGAACCAATGGGGAAACTTCTCTTGTAAAGCGCCAATCTACAAATGTCGTAGATATGATCCATCTAGAATTATAAACGGTACAAAAATAACATTTGTTTTTAGACAAACGAAAATCAATACTTGTATATCGAATGCTGATAGGTGCCATATATCCAATAAGCATTCGTTTGTGGAAATCTTCAACAATTCGTTTATCTCTAACTTGCAGCGACGAAGAAACCATCGACCTTCGTTTAATGCGTTGTTTAAATGTTAAACACGTTAAAAATTTAGAATTTATCGATTGTTACTTGGAGAAATTTGCAGTCGAAAAATTCGCTTCGAATTATACCATCGAAAAAATCGTCATAAAATACACGTTAAAATCCAAATATGAAAGGTTGAAATTCGAACCTGAAAGGTTGAATTTCGAAAGTGCAGCATTTATTAATATGTCGTCTCTGAAATATTTACAGATTGAAGGCGTAAGAACTTTCGACATATTCAATTTGAGTTTTTACAACGATTCTTCTCTGATTTTTTTGAAAATCTGGAATTATAATTTTACGCTGTTTCTGCACAGACCATTCCAACAATTAAAAAATCTTTCTGAATTACAAGTGAACTTTGGTAAATTAAAGTCTTTGCCAGAAGAACTGTTTCATGGTCTTTATAATTTGAAAACCCTGGATTTAATTTACAACATAATTGAATTCGTTCATCCTTTTGTCTTTCGACATCTCAGTTTATTGGAACAGTTAAATTTGAGGGGAAACAAAATAGAAAGTTTATCTGAAGAACTCTTTCGTGGACTGAATAATCTGAAATCCCTGGATATAAGAAACAACTTAATTGAATCCGTTCATCCTTTAGTCTTTCGACATCTCTATTTATTGGAACAGTTAAATTTGAAAGAAAACCCAATAAAAAGTTTTCCAGATGACTTGTTGAAAGGTCTTTCGAACTTAAGAATACTTTTTATCTCTGGAAAATTTTCTGAACTGCGCTCTGTATTTTTGAAGGGACTCGACAATCTGACAGAATTTTGCGCTTCTAATTTTCCTTTACTTCGAATCGAAGAAGATTTTTTTTTTCCATTCCATGAACTTAAGAAAGGTGGTTATCAGTTCCAACGAAGTTTTGCATCTCCCGTCCAATCTGCTCAAAAATAATAAAAATCTGGAAATTTTTGAATACAGATGGAACAAATTATCGACAGTACCAAATGGTATTTTCGATGGACTTTCTAAACTCAAAAAAATCGATTTACACGAAAATCGTCTAGAAAACATTCCAGAGGATTTTTTCCAAGGTTTGTCGAATCTGGAAAAACTGGATTTATCATATAATCGCCTGACATTTTTACCTAAAAATATTTTTCTTCCAACGAGTAATTTACGAATTCTCGATCTTTCTCATAACAATTTCAGTAAAATTTCTTTTGACTTCAACAATAAACTCGAAAGACTTGATTTGAGAGAAGCGGGTTTGACGGAATGGTCGAATTTAAATTGGACAAAATACAACTTGACTTATGTTGATTTTTCATGGAACCATTTCGAAACTGTCAAATTGCCGATTTACACTCCGAACCGCATGGAGATAAATTTGGATTACTGTCGCATAAAAACCATTTACATCGACGAATGGAAATACGGATTCAACAAACCCAATTATAAATTAAGTGAAAACCCAATAACTTGTGATGGAGAACTTTTGCATTTCATCGGCACGATTGTTCGATTGAACTTTCAAATTTCATTTCAAATTTTTTCGGTTCTAATATTCAACAAATGTCACGGAGAAGAAAGAAAATTGCTAAATTTTACGCAATTCTTTGCCATTAGAAGCCATTGTCCAATGAACTGCGACTGTTCTTCGAAAAACGACGACCTCAGAGTCGATTGTAGTCGAAAGGAAATAAAGAGAATACCCGAATTTCTGATCGAAAATGCGACAATCGTCGACTTGAGTAATAATTATATTAATGAATTGTCGACTATGGATTATCGAACATGGAGCAAAGTCACTCGTCTTCACCTGAGTAACAATTCTCTATTGCATTTTCCGGATTGTTTTATTTTGCCAAACATCAAATTTATTTGGTTAGACGGAAACCGATTAACCGAATTGCCTTCCGGATTAATGAATTTGATCGACGTCTCTGCTGAATTCACGGTGTACAGTACTTATCGAGAAACAATTGGACTTGTAATTGCCATTCGAGATTTACTAAAGACTGGTTGCTTCGAAACAAAAGGAAGATTGCAGATTTCTCCGATGTTTTATGCACGAAAAATTCGTCTGTTTTATCTTTTACCAGAATTATTTCTAAGAATCAATGCACACAAATCCCAGGTGTGTGTTCTGAAGAAGTTTCTTCTACTTTTGGATGGAAAATCGCAGTTGCAGTTCTTACTTTGTCATACTTGTTAGGGTTAGTCATTGTTGTTGTGTTTGTTTATAGTCATAAGAAAAAAAATGTCGAGAAAGTGGCAGAGCCTAAGGAAGAAGAAGTGATTTCTCAGTTGTAAACGTTGTAGTACAACGTTTACAACTGAGAATTTCTGTCAATTCACTTGCATCGAGTTTGAACTCTTTAATGAATTTTTCGCAAATTATTGTTGTTTTGCATTCGCTTGCACAGAAAATAATTTTGTATACTTCAAATATGCTGCGCTTTGATAGTGAATTTTGATTATGAATTATGTAGAATGTTGTTTAGTAATTACGTAATAAATGAGCGAATTGAAAAGAAAGAGGATTATTTATTTGAATGATTAAATGAATTTGACGGTATTATTTTTTACCATTCGAGTATGGCGATAAATATGAGTATGCAGGCTAAAACAACCAAATTAAATTGTTTAAATATTTCAAATAAAATTTAGTTTTAGGTAAAAAATTTTTTTATTTTACTTTTTAACGTTACATGCCGTACACTCAGTAAAAGTAACATCAGTTCATCATTAGAAAACAATTTATTTTTTTCAAAACAAAGTGAATACTGAATAAAAATTTTACATAAGCAGAAAAAGCAAACATTTAACATGTACTGTACTAATCGAGTCATACAGTACATCTCTAAAAGAAGGCATTTTTTTTCAAAATAAACAGTGCTTAATAAGAAAACAATAAAATTTAAAATCGAAATCCTGAAAGTTATAGTTATAAAAGACATTATGTAAAATGATGTGTTCCTGTAAATAAAACAAAATAAACATTGGTAACCATTATACAACAAAATAAGTTTGGCAGTTTATGGATGTCTGAATGTGATTTGTATATCTGAGTTTTTTTTCAATAGTAATATCTCAAACTTGAGTAGTTTTCAATTACGACACATGTTAAAATATAGGATGATTATGTTATGGCGTTGTGTCATGCATGTGTATATTAAGTGATGCAAAAATATCAAATTCTAGACCAGTGTTTATCAACGGGGGCGATATCCTCCCCGTGTAGGCGTTTTTCTAAGTTGAGGGGACGATTTGTAACAATTTATATTTTGGGGGCGAAAAACAATCTTCTGGGCGATATAGTAAAACATTAGGCCTATATTAAAAATAATTAAATATTTCATTCGTTATATCGTATAATAATTAAACAAATAACATTACACTTCTCACTAGTCTATTCGATGCAGTAGGAATTTGGCGTTAGCCTCGGCCCTCGGCATCGGAATTTTGAAACGAAAGGGGCGATAGTACGTGACGGTCTTATTGAAGGTCCCTGACAATTAACCGTACCTGACAATTACGCCTCTAGAGAATACCGAGCGCGCTTCGTCTAGATTTTCAATTCAAGTAGTATAGAAATATGACATGTAGGAAAAAATATTTTTTACACTTTATTCGAAAAATATTAAAATAACAAAATATTGTGAAAAAAGCGAGACAAAATATCTAGTCTTAGTGCGAAAAATTCCCATGTTTATGTTTATTCAAATTTAAATAAGAAATTATTGAAAAGAAACTTTCCAAGAAAATTTCTCTTTCGTCAGAAATTTTCCGAGTAATCAATCACTGTCAGGTAACGTGGTACGAAGTCGTCGGCTGCAAGGTATTTTATAATTTATAAAGGGTTATAAAAAGAATCTCATTATGACGAAGTTATTGACTTAAAACAATTAGTATAAGTTTTATTATTTTTATTTTAGAATGTATTGCAAAGGACAACGGAAATAAAGGAAAAATAGTTTATTTTTCAACTTTTATTAAAAATTTTATTTTAGTTTTTAAAAATAATTAATATAAAAAATAAATGTACAACAGATGAATAATCCCTTTGAAGTTATCAGTCAGTCGGAATCAGCAACTTCCTACACAAAGAAATGAGAGATTTCCTCTTTAAATGTTAAAGTATAATAACACAGACTAATATAATTGTTTAGTTATTCTGTAAAACATTTTATTTATTCTATATTTTCTTAGATAAAATAATTTAATTTTTCTAAATAAGAAAATTTAGACAATAATAAAGCAATTGCCATAAGTTTTTTTATTTCTGGACAATATAAAAGGACAACTTTAATTATCATAAATTATTTAAGTGATTAAAATGACAAGAAATGTTCCTCAGTATGTGAAATTCACTTAATGTTTTCTGCGAATATTAATTATAATAAAGGAAGTTAAACAAGAAATTATTTTATACTCGACTTTATTCTATAAGTTTCTTTTAACGTTTGATAATTACTTAATTAAAAAAAATATGCATGGATTTCATGGACGTATTAACAATTTTATATATGAATTTGCTATAGTAAATTACGACTGTTAGCTACAGACTATGACAAATTAGATTAAAATAAATAAAAATATAACAGATATCTCGAAATAAATTGCTGTTTTAAATTTTTACGCGAATACAATAAGGTTTAAATTTGTTATTTACCTACAGAACAAATTTTAAAAATGCTGATACGTTGCTATAATTCACATTTAATTATAAAGAGTAAAGTTCAAATATTTTACTTTTTCTTTGCGTGTAAAACATATTTTAATTTATAGAACTAACGTTTTATTCTTAGTTCATAAGCAAAACTTACATTTATATAATGAAGAAACAAATACAGTAAAACCTGTGTAAACAGGAACCGCGCGGTTCGACAGGTTTCCGATTTGAACAGGTTTTACTCTATGTATTTTTATGATTTTTGTAACAGTAATTGAAAACTTGTAGACCTATAAATTCTCACTGTCGTTCACCTGTCTGTCGGTCCTTCTTAATCTCACGAATGGTATTAGATACATAAAGGACAAGACAAGGAAAGTAATACTAATAGACAGGAAACTCCGTTAAACTATAGAAAAATTTACATTTTTGAGCAGAAGTGACATGATTTAAATTCAAAAATTCTTTTAAGTTCTTTTAATTTTTTTTATGATTATAAAAGTTATATTAATAAAAACATTGAGCAGAAATTAAAATAATCTTAAACTTATAATTTATTTTATAAATATTTATTATACAGTCAAACCTTTAAACAATAGCCACTGACGAAAAGAAAAAATGGCGTTGTCGAGGTTTAGTTGTATATGTTGTTATATGTTGAAGAGTTTTATATAATTTCGTATATATTTATGAGAGATTTGGAAAATTTTTAATATATAGAAAGAGAGATTCAACTAGCCTTATATTTAAAAATTAAATAAATGTGATCAATTATGTTAAAATTATAAAGCAATTATAAAAGGGATATTTTAGAATCTTTTCTTAGTGTGCGTGACGTACCCTGTGTACAAAATTTCTACTTTTAAGTCCTAACCGTTTGGGCTCTGCACTTATTATTATTCTCAACTCGTCTCGATTATATATATATAGACGCGGCAACACATCCATTGTAAAGTTTATTGAAAAGTAATTTATACTTGAAAGTAAATGAGGTTTTTATATTTTTACATTACTTTAACTTATTTAAAGAAAAGAGAAGTAAACGGCATTTTATGTAGTTTGAAAGTTGTATGTATTTTCATTTAAATTTAAGTAATTTTTAGTTATTTTTATTACTTTTTATTATTTTTAAATTATTTATTTTTTGAAGGGCAGAACCTACATATTATCACTACTGGCATGATGAAATTGTCACCTCTTAGTAGATTTTCCGATTTTTGAGGCTCGATAAATTTAAAGGAAGGTGAATGAGGTGGAATAAAAACGTATTTTATTTTTACATGATTTTGTCTGATTTTTCATGATTATGAAATTTTTCGATTTCGGGGCATTCACATTTTAGTCATTCTCGTTCTAGTGAGCAAGAATCGGCATTTCCCCACTACTAATAGTGTTAAAGGATTTTCGTTTGTAAACGGGATGTACAGTACAGGGAAAATATCCAGATGATTATATCAGTTTGAAAATAAGGTCCTGGGAAAGGAAGTTAATTTTCCCTTTCGACACAAAAGTGACGTTTGTGTCTTCCTTTTTCACAAAGTAATAAAATTCCTAAACTCATTCATTTAATTATTTTTTGCTGTCTTCTTTACGTATAGAAAGAGAATATTTTTATTTGATATTTATTTCTTATTCACTTACGAAATTTTCGATATAATGATTTAACTGGAGTTAGACAGAAACATTTTTTTGTGTCACAAAACGCAATTACTTAACACCATTCACACACGTCTTAGAAAAAGAAAAGAAATAATATTTTATTTAAAATATTAATTAATTTAAACGAACAGTCCCCGTATAATAAATGTGAAAAACAACTTTTTTATTTGTAAAATATTAATTTTATTAATCCGATATTGCTCCATCGAACTCAACGGAAATAAACGAGGAAATTATAAACTTTATACGTGATATTTCTCTTGGAAATGACGGTACAATGTCACTGACATCATAAATTTATCGTGTTTTCAACGCAGCAACATTAGTGATAACGAATATTACCAGTTCGGAATTGTGTTTTATTGTTAAATCTTTTCTGAGGATTTTACTTCTGAGATTCGTCTGTCGATGTAACTAGAAGACTCTTTGGACGAGATGAGGTGGGTTATCTTCTTGCAATTCCTATTTCTAGTGGTTAATTCCTGTCAAGAGTTTTGGCAACATTGGGCGAATGTTTCTTGCTCGTCATCAGCAATTAGCTGCCATAAATCAAAAAACCTTTCTTCTGTTGAAGTATTCAACCAGTCTTTATCCATCAATTGCGGCAAGGAAAGGATTGACTTTCGTTTAATGCGATGCTTGAATGTTAAAAATGTACAAAAGATAACATTTAGATATTGTTATCTGTCGGGGATCGACTTTGGAATATTCACTTTCGGATATGGAATCGAACACGTCCAGATATATAACCATTTCTCGCATAAAAGATACTTCGAAAGTGCATCGTTTAATAACATGTCCTCTCTGCGATCTGTCCAAATACGGTATGTGAGGTCGTCGGAACTTCTAAATTTAACGTTTCACAATGTTCCATCGCTGACTTTATTGAAAATCGAATGGTATAACTTCTCTTTATTTCCGAACAAACCTTTCCGAGAGATAACTAATTTATCTGAATTATACATCATACGCGGTAATTTAAGAGTTATACCGGAAGATCTATTTTATAATCTTTACAGTTTGAAAAGACTGGACTTGCGTATCAATAGAATTGAATCGATTCATCCACTTGTCTTTAGAAATCTCACCCGATTGGAATTTTTGGACTTAGGAATTAATCAAATAAAGGATTTGCCAGGTTACATGTTGAAAGGTCTTTCAAATCTAAAGACATTTTATATTCATGGAAATCCTAGATTATCAGAAATTCCGTCAGGATCTTTCATGAAACTGCACAACTTGACTGAATTTGTAGCAAGGAGTTGTTCCTTTTCTTCATTCGAAGAAGATGTATTTTTTGACTTAAGTAATTTGAAAATCGTCAATTTAAATTTTAATAAAATTGAACATCTGTCGCCGAATCTTCTGAGAAATAACAAACTGCTGACAAAGTTTTCCTGTTCGAACAATAAAATATCGACACTTCCAACAGAAATTTTTCATCGACTTTCTGAACTGCGAGTGTTAGAGTTGGAGTGAAACCAGTTAGAAAATCTTCCTGAAGGTGTTTTTCAAAATTTGTCGTCATTACAGATTCTCCAGTTATCACAAAATAAGCTTACATTTTTACCCAAAAACATTTTTTTTTCATTGAATAATTTAACGAATCTCGATCTAGCTAATAACGATTTAACAGAATTACCTTCCGGATTAATGAATTTAATCGACGTTTCTCCGATATTTAAAATTTACTTATCCAGAAACAATTGGACTTGCGAGTGTCATTCGCAATTTACTAAAGACTGGTTGCTTAGAAACAAGCAGAAGATTGCAGATTTCTCCAATACTTACTGCAGAAGAAATTCCTCTTTTCTGTTATTCGTCGATATTGTTTCCAATGACGAATGTAGAGAAATTCCAGAAGATAATTTGACATCTTCAGTAAATGATTCTTCTTTAAACGAAGGTTGTTTCGATGAAGTTACTTCGGTTTTTGGATGGAAAATCGCAGTCTCTGTTCTTACTTCCCTAATGTTATTAGGCGTGATTATTGTTGTTTCCATCGTTTATTATCGCAGAAGACGAAGTGACAAGAAAGAGCCAAATACTCATCAAGAAGAAGTGATTATTTACAATGTTCACACTTGACAAATTCTGTAATTACGGCAATTTAAGTGTATCTACTTTAATCAATGTAACTAATTTCTTGCAATCAATTGTTATTATTTTGCATATGTTACTATAGAAATGAACTTCATTTATTCAATAAAGCTGATAAAATTAATTAATTAGACACTACATTGCATATAGAAAATGCAGAGATGAAAGTAATATTTTTCGATGGAGAATCTCTTGCAATTCTTATCGTTTTCTGCTGTTTCGAAGGTGCTACAATTAAATACAATGATAACAATTGTTATGTGTCAACTACGTGTCAGAATTAGAGAAAAATTGGGTGGAATGCTGTCTTTTGTTTCTTTCGAAGTCTTGCTAACAGTAAAACATTTTAATGGAGTGTGATTCAATTCATATAAGCAAAACATATCAAAATCGGTTGTTAACAAAGTATACCTTAAATGCTCGGTAATTTCGCAAGATACAAATAAATGGTTTTATTACTTTCACAAAGTCAATTACATAATGGACAATTAGAATGGGCAGGTATATTCATTCTGCGCCTATTTTATACAATAGTATAGTCGTTGAGACGTAACTGAATTATTAAAAATGTAATATTATATTTTAAATTTGATAATAAATAATATCGAGGTGTTTATGGAGATACAAAGGAAGTCTCAAGAAACCTACACTTTTGCTCAATATAATGAATGTCTTGGGCCCAATATTTATCCCTTAATTTAATGACTGAGACATTTCAGCCAGAAAAAGTTTTTTTATCAGAAATTTGAGCATAATAATCAGTAGAGTAACCTAAATCAGACAATAAGCTTTCAACTGAAAAGGACTAAGTTTTGAACGAAGAATTTCCATCTATTAATTTCAACTTGTTATAAATCAACTTTCTAGGATCATAGTCTCGTAACTCTAAAATTTTACTCCAATATATAAGAATGATCATTGTTAAACGTATAGCCATTGGTGGACGACCCAGTTCAAATCTTAAGACAGGAGCAGGCACCGAACGATTAATATGAAATATCGATCTAACAAATCTCAATTGCGTCTTCTCCAATTTATCAACGAAAGATGATCCCCAAATAGGGAACATATAGCCTATACTTGAACGTATCAAGGAATCGAACAATCGGTAATACGACTTAATGAAAGACTGCTTCATTCTTACCATAAGCTTTATTAAATTAGAAAGCTGAAGTTTATATTTCAAAAACAATTTCTCTAGGTGAAAATAAATTCCCAGATATTTATAGGACGAAACAATCTCCAAATAGAGAAAGTTTAGAAAGCAGAAAGCACTGATAAACTAAATAAGAACTTCCACTTTGTGTCAGAATTCCGGTTATTTCAGTTCAAATGTAATATTTACAAGCTTCTATAATTTTTTACCTTATGTCTCATATATTAATGTACCTTTATTTATACCTGCCTATGAAAGTGACTCTATCCCGGAATGCTTCGTATTTAATGGCCATTTTCTATCTTAGTACGCTTTAAAATAACTTACATTAATTGAAAATAGTTAAAAAATAACTACAATTAACGATACTATAGCAACTGTTCTAATAGTCATGTCATTACTATCTGTTCTGTTGCACTTAATACGGAAATGATTTTAAAGGCATATTCTGAAAAATGAATATCACACGAGTTTATCCGTTCAACACAGACGAAATACATTGTAATACAATCAGTTCAAAAACCGTACGATACAGTCAACCAAATTATATTCGTATTTATTAAAGTGAATGTAATGAATAACACTGTATTATTTTATACAATCTAGTGTCGATGGTCATGCCATGTGATATATTTAACAATTATTTTTACAATATTTCTAAATTTCTGCGTGCTCTAAATTTACGTTTAGAAGTATCCTTTTATATATCTAATATTTTAGTTTTATTCCTATTAACTCGAGAGTTATTAATAATTGAATGTTTATACCATGGTGATTAAGTATACTTGTGGGGTATCGCCTCTTCATGTTCTTTTACTTTTTTTCTAATATGCGGCCGATTTCTTCAATATAAAATTTTCGTCTAATCCAAATACATCGTACCTTCTTTTACAAGACAATTTCTATGCATCCTGTTATTATTATTTTTAATTTTCTTACATGCATTTTGTGATGTTTCGTTGGTCAAAGAGGACCAAACGCATATTATTTTGTCTAAGAGTATTGTTACATTTTTCAAATATGTTGTTTATAGTGGAAAAGAAGAATAACTTTTAACTTGTTTATATTTAATATTATATGTATTAGTTAAATATTGTTTAAGCAAATTTAATTAACTGTCAAAATGTTAAACCTCTTCTCCGTATGTCATCGAAACGAAGTGTAAGTGTTTAAATTATTCAGAAAACAACACGCGTTACTTCTATATTTGTAAAATGTCTTCAGATTTTATAATGGCTAACTATGATTAAAACACAAAGTACAATGAAAAAAGAAAAAAATGAAAGCATAAACGAAAAGATACAATTGAAATAAAATGAAAAGTTAGCAGAAACAGTTTAGAAACCAAAAGTCATAATTGTTTTAACGAAGGAAATTAGAAAAACAGTCGATAAATAAGTCGTATCTTATAAATGACACTTCCGACTTTATGTCGCATATTAAAATATACAATCGACAATTTGTAAATACAGTAGAAACTCGATTATCCGGACCTCCATTATCCGGATTTTCGATTATCCGGATTCAAAATAAACAAAAATTTTACGAATTTGCTGATTTGCACTTGGCAAATTACGATACTGTTTATGTACTGTACGTGATGGAATGCATAATTTTTTTTTTATTTCAACAACGTCTCACCCGGCACAGTGCCCGTAAACTCTTAAATATATTTTGCGTCGTGATAAAAATATAACTTGACATACGTATTTATAAATAATTTATATTCAAATTACATCATTTCTATGACCAAGGGCGGCGTAAGGCATGGACGACGTGGGCTACCGCCTATGCCTCCCGGTCCGAAGGGCTTCGCGCCTCGAAGGTTTATGCATTACTTAAAAGCCGCGAACGTGACGAAAAAATTTTTCTCGTCATAAAACGATAAATAGTTTGTCAAATTTTTATTCATAAAAATGCAGTTTCAACTGCTTTTTATTTTATAAAATCCGTCTTCTTGAGCCACCAGAAGGCCTTTTAAACAATAGCTAGTCTGTTAGCGCTGGTCAGTAGTAGACCAAATTCAATAGAAACGTTTGTTTCTTGAAAATTTGATCACGATTTAAATACAGTATTTACTTTTAATATTACCGATATGTCATCGAAAATAAAACGTGTTGTATTATCATTAAAAGACAGTATTTGTTTCGATTATCCGGATTTTTCTTATCCGGATTACCTTCATGTCCAATTAGTCCGGATAATCGAGGTTCTACTGTATTAAAATTTTCAGAATTTAAGAACAGTCAACTTGATTCACAATTGGGGCATACAGACGTGTAGTCTAAGTGTATATTTAGAATATGTGTGTGTAATAAATCTCTTCAATATTCAATAATCATTTTTTATAAATATCACAAAATACTTACATAATAATAGAAATAATCCGAATTTTTTCTTACTATATGAGCGAGACGAATAACGAGGAAATTAATAAAAAATTATGTCATCGTTATTTTCGATAAGAGCAAGAAATAATGAATCATTCTCATTGTTCTCGTAATTAATCCCCTTTAGCTGTCAGTCGACAAAACGTAACCGTTGTAACATCAACTGCTGGTGTATTGCACTACGACACTCGTCTGACTTAAAATAGAAGAAACGACGAGACCGTGATCAGAAAAATGAGGTTGGTAATGCTTTTTCTATTCCTATTCTCGCTAGTAAATTGCTGCCAACATTTCTGAAACCAATGGGGGAACTTCTCGTGTAAATCGCCAATATACAAATGCAGAGGAAATAGATTTCGTATTATAAACGGTACAGAAATGATACCTCGTTGGAATCATACGAAAATTAATACTTGTATATCGAATGCTGATAGGTGCCATATATCCAATAAGCATTCGTTTGTGGAAATCTTCAACAATTCCTTATCTGTCACTTGCAGTAACGAAGAAACCATCGACCTCCGTTTGATGCGTTGTTTAAATGTTAAACACGTTAAAAATTTAGAATTTATCGATTGTTCCTGGTCGATATTTGCCGTCGAAAGATTCGCTTCGAATTATGCCATCGAGAAAATAATCATAAAATACACGTTAAAATTCGAAGATCGATGGTTGAAACTCGAACGTGAAAAGTTGAATTTGGAAAGTGCATCATTTATAAACATGTCGTCTCTGAAATATTTAGAAATTGAAGGCGTAAGAACTTTTGACATATTGAATTTGAGTTTTCACGGCGATTCTTCCCTGATTGCTTTTAAAATCACAAATTATAATTTTACGTCGTTTCCGCGTAAACCATTCCAACAATTGAATAAACTTTCTGAATTACAAGTGAACTTTGGTAAATTAAAGTCTTTGCCAGAAGAACTGTTTCATGGTCTTTATAATTTGAAAACACTGGACTTAATTTACAACCTAATTGAATCCGTTCACCCTTTCGTCTTTCGACATCTCCTTTTATTGGAACAGTTAAATTTGAGTGGCAACAAAATACAAAGTTTACCTGAAGAACTCTTTCGTGAACTTGATAATCTGAAATCTCTCGATTTAAGAAACAACTTAATTGAATCCGTTCATCCTTTAGTCTTTCGACATCTAACTTTATTGAAACAGTTAAATTTGGAAGAAAACCCAATAAAAAGTTATTCTGAAAACTTGTTGGAAGGTCTTTCGAACTTAACAATATTTTCTATTTCTGGAAAATCCTCTCATTCTGAATATTTATTTTCCAAGGGACCACACAATGTAACACGCTTGCGCTCTGTATTTTTAAAAGGACTCGACAATTTGACAGAATTTCGCGCTTCTTACTTTCCTTTACTTCGAATCGAAGAAGATTTATTTTCCCATTCCATTAACTTAAGAAATGTTGTTTTCGATTCAAACCATGTGCTGCATCTTCCATCCAATCTGCTGAAAAATAATAAAAATCTGGAAGTATTTGACTACAGATGGAATAAATTATTGACAGTACCAAACGGTATTTTCGATAAATCTTATAAACTCAAAAAAATCAATTTACGCGGAAATGGTTTAGAAAACATTTCAGAAGATACTTTTCAAAGTTTGTCGAATCTGGAAGAACTAGATTTATCATATAATGACCTGACATTTTTACCTAAAAACATCTTTCTTTCAACGAACAACTTACGAATTCTCCGTCTTTCTGATAACAATTTCAGTAAAATTTCTTTCGACTTCAACAATAAACTCGAAGAACTCTATTTGGGTAGAGCGGGTTTGACGGAATGGCCGAATTTAAATTGGACAAAATACAATTTGACTTATGTTTATGCTCCATTTAACCATTTCGAAACTGTCAAATTGCCGATTTACACTCCAAACCGCTTTAAGATGATTTTGTATCACTGTCACATAAAAACAATTTACATCGATGAGTGGAAATACGGATTCAACAAACCTAATTATCAATTACGTTATAACCCAATAACTTGCGATCGAGAACTTTTGCATTTCATCAGCACTGTTCAATCGAATTTACAAATTTCATTACAAATTTTTTCGGATTTAAAACACAAGAAATGTCACGGTGAAGAAAGAAAATTGCTGGATTTTACGCTATTCTATGCCATTAGAAGCCATTGTCCAATGAACTGTGAATGTTTCTCGAAAAACGACGACATCAGAGTCGATTGTAATGGAAAGGGAATAAAGAAAATACCCGAATTTCTGATCGAAAATGCAACAGTCGTCGATTTGAGTAATAATTACATAAATGAATTGTCAACTGTGGATTATCGAACGTGGGGCAAAGTCACTCGTCTGCACCTGAGCAACAATTCTCTATTGCATTTTCCGGATTATGTTTTCTTGCCAAACATCAAATTTCTTTGGTTGGACGGAAATCGGATAACCGAATTGTCTTCCGGATTAATGAATCTGATCGACGTTTCTGCTGAATTCACGGTGTACTTATCGAGAAACAATTGGACTTGTGATTGCCATTCGCGATTTACTAAAGACTGGTTGCTTCGAAACAAAAGGAAGATTGCAGATTTCTCCGATGTTTTATGCACGAAAAATTCGTCTGTTTTCTCTTTCATCAGAATTATTTCTAATAATTATTGCATACAAATCCCAGAAGATAAGTTCATGTCGTTCGTAAATGTTTCTCCTACAAAAGGCGTGTGTTTTGACGAAGTTAGTTCAGCGTTTAAATGGAAAGTCGCAGTTGCTGTGTTTGCTTTTCTACTGTTGTTCAGTTGGATTATGTTTGCTTCCCTTGTTTATTGTCATAAAAAAAGAAATGTCGAGAAAGTGGCAGAGCCTAACGAAGAACAAGTGATTTACTACAACGTCTCAACTGACAATTTGTCAATTGAAATGTTTAAACGCTATAATGAATAATTTTCCACAAATTGTTGTTCTGTATTCGTTTGTACAGAAATTAATTTTGTGCATTTGAGCTATGCTGCGCTTTGTTAGTAAGTTTTTATTGTGAATTATGTAGAATAATGTTTATTAGTTATGTAATAAATCAGTGAATTTAAAAAAAATACGATTATTTATTTGATTATTTGAATGAAAACTGACGGTATTATTGTTACGATCACAGTATAACAACACGTAGACTAGATAGAATTTCGATGCCATTCATTTTAACTGGTAGTCGATACCGTCACGAACAGAAGCGTCTCTACCTAACACCGAGCGCGCTTCGTCTCGACTAATAATGCAAATAGTATAGAGGGCAAACCGTCTATGTTCCCAAAACACTGGGAGTTCGTTTGAGGGTTCGCGCCATGGTTGGACGGGCTGCAGGTTTTCTCAACGTTAGTATCGCCTAAATAGGGCTCAATTTCTTATAAAAGACTTACTCAAAGGCGTCATTCCTCCACGCTTACATGTGGCTAAGCAGATACGAGAAGCTTCGGCCCGCTCGTCAGACTCGTACGTTTATCATCGTTTCTTCGAATGGGTTCTTAAACTGCCGAATTATAGGGCTGTAAGCTCGATGCCGCTAGAGAGCAAAAGAAGTACTACAATCTCGAGAACAAACTAGAAATCTTCCAGGATACGGGTGAAAAAACACATAACGTATGTCTTTTCTTAAACGCATTAAAGACGATTCATCAACATCATTTGAATCAGAAAAGGCATTCTCGGTTGCGGGTCTTTTCATTACTAAAATAAGAATCGGATTGATTGATGAGAGTATTGACAATGTTTGCTTTTTAGAATCTTATTATAAAGATTTACAATAATATTTTGTATTACGTTTTATTTAAAAAACCAAAATCATCTTTTAAGTTAGAAGTTTGATTTAAGTTCCATTTGTTTTTAAATTTTCAACTCAATTCAAACGCATTTTTTGTTGTTGTTGTTGCTGCAGTTTCAAGGAAACATTAATAATTTTTTTTTATTGTGAAAATTTCTACGCAATTCAAAGGTAATATATATCTTACACGGCATTATTAATATAATTTTGGAGGTTGTTTTACGTATTAAATTACTTTACAAAATGAAAAAAAAATTATATTGTTTGATTTCAAGATATTTTGTATATTTTACAAAAAATTAATTCTATGTCGGGACAAGTAAAAGACCGGAAAATGAGAAACCTTACGCATATGAACACAGAATAAAATAGAATATCAATATAGAAATACGACACGCTTTACGAAAAAAATATTTTTTACGTTTTATCCAATGACTTTTAATATAACAAAATATGCAGAAAAACCTAAATCAAAATTCTAGTTCTACTGTCAAAAAATCAGGTGTTTATGTTCATTCAAATTTAAATAAAAAAATTTTAAAAGCAACTTTTCCACAGAAAATGAGTTCTGTCAGATATTTGCCAAGGAATCGAGGTTATGCCGTGTAGCGTGTAAACAAATTCGTCGGCTGCAAAGTACTTTATAATTTATAAAGTGTTATTAGAAGAATATCTATCGTTCTCATTATGGTGAAATTATTGTCTTAAAACAATTATTCTACGTGTTCTTTTGTTTACTTTAGGTTGTATTGCAAAAGACAATAAATATAAGGATAAATTTTGAAATATGCAGTTTACTTAACGTATGTCATTAGTACATAATAATAAAAAAATTCAAAATATCCTGTATATTTTTTACGTCCTTTATGGAAGTTGGAAGAGTTTTGCAGTTTTAAACTGCAGAGAAAAATGTACGTGACATTAAAGAAAACTTCTGCTTTGATGAATTTGTTAAATTTCTGCATTCAAAATAGAATTCAGTTAAAAACAGATGCTTAATTTTAATTACTTTTCTGCAATTCTTTAATAATGGTTTGTGTAGTAAACACTGTTCTCGTAAAGTAAGGAATCCACAATCTCATAAAAGCTTAGCATGTAGTAGTGATCAAAGTCGATTCAGAAATAAATTATACTATATTTACGATAATTGCTGTTTTACGCTTCTTCTTTTGAAACTCCACTTAAAAAATTTCTTTTCTTTGCCGAATAACCTGACGAGCTGTGTGTTGGCTTAGTAATAATAATGTTGACATGATTAGTCGATTTGTCGTACCGGTATGAAAATTCTTTCTGTTTAACAAATGTAAAATAATGTTTATTAATCTTTCTGTATTATAAATCACGGATCGAAATTTAAACATTTTACAAGACCGATTTTATATACTTCACAATTTGAGAAAAGTAGACTTAATTGCCAATATAATTAAATTAATTTATTCATTGGTCTTTAGAAACCTCCTCCGACTTGAATATTTGTTCTTACAATACAATCAAATATAGGGTTTATCCGGTGACAGGTTGAAAGTTCTTTCTAACTTAACGACATTTTGTATCTAACAGACTATCAAGACATTAATAATTTCGTCTTCTCACACGATAAGTGTTTAACAATAACAAAATATATCTTTTATATATTTTGAACAGAACTTATATTCTACGATTTCATATAATAAATGTCCTGAGAAATCGCGTTACTTTTACTTACGTTTAGTTTTATTACTTTCTTGAAGCGAATAATTCAAACTTAAATTAATTCAACTTTAAAACACTTTCAAAATTTTTTATTTTTAAACTTCTATTTAAAATTTTATTTTAATTTTTACAATAATTAATATAAAAAATTAATCTAGAAGAAATGAATAATTCCTTTTAAATTATCAATCAGTCGTAATCAGCAACTTCCTGCACTAAAAAATGACTGATTTCCTCTTTCCATGTTAAAGTACAGGAACTAAAATAATATAATTGTTTAGTTATTCTGTGAAACATTTTATTTATTCTATATTTTTTTTTAAATAAAATAATTCAATTTTTCTAAATAAGAAAATAAATACAATAATTAAACGATTGTTATATCTTTTTATTTTTTAAAATTATAAAAGGACAACTTTAATTATCGTAAATTATTTGAATGATTAATATAACAAGAAATGTTCGTCAGGATGTGAAATTCATTTAATGTTTGCGGTGAATATAAATTATAACAAAGGAAGTTAAATAAGAATTTATTATGTATTTGACGTAATTATATAAGTCACTCTTAACGTTTGAAAATTACTTAATTTGAAAAAATTATGCACGGATTATATTTTTCCTGTTGCACCACAGTCGTGTCGGTCGTCTATCTAAATCCTTTCGAGACAGACCATTGAATTAAAATCACTGACTTTCGGTCTGGATCGGAAGTTCGCATATAGTTAGTTGGAGCCTTCTGCCTTTCAGCTTCCCATATCATATCTGGTCTCGACTTTCATCTATTTAGCATCGTTTTCGAGAACCGCGTGATTAGTTGGAACGTCATAGATTCCGACTTAAAAATGTCTCGTGATGTGTCGTGACGTTACAGTACCACCTGATATGATAAAACACATGACGTTGGAATAAGGCGTCACGCTGTATCACGTGATAACGCCTACAATCGCTTTCGGTCTACGTTTGACTGGTCCACACCGCGTAAATACTACTAATGTGTAATATTTTGGTATGTCGATTGCGGATAACTTTAATTTTTTCTCTGTAACATTCCATCTTTAGAAACATCCATTTAATGGCACCATTCATTATCACATTTTATTTTAAAAACTTTTAATATTTTTAACTATTATAAAATGATAAGAAAAAAAAATAATAAACGATAATACAAAAGAAAACAAAAACAAATATGAAAGTAATGACTTTTCTAAATCAGAAAATTATAAAAAGTGAATAAGTCGTGTCTTTAATATAACAATTCTAGTTTGATGTGTCATATTAAAATCTGAAATCCGTAATTTCTAAATTCGAAAATCCTCAGAATTCGAGAAGAATCAACTTGAGTATTTGTGGCATACAGTACGTGTAGTCTAAGTTTATATATAGAATATATGTAACAAATATACACAGAAATAAATTAAACTTAATAAAAATATGTGAGCATAATTATTTAATAATAATACTAAATGATTGTGACTATATGACCTAGACGAATAACTAGTAAATTAATCAAAAATTATGTCACCGTTATCTCCGATAAAAACAAGAAATAATGAATCATTCTCATTATTCTCGTAATTAATCCGCTTTTGCTGTCAGTCGACAACAAGTAACGATTGTAACAATAAATGCTGGTTATTGCACTAAGATTCTCGTCTCACTTAAAATAGAAGAAATGACAAGACTCTCAGCAGAAAAAATGAGGTTGGTAATGCTTTTTCCATTTCTATTCTCGCTAGTAAATAACTTGTCGAAATTTGCCGTCGAAGGATTCTTTTCGAGTTACGCCATCGAAAAAATCGTCATAAAATACACGAGTGAGACGTTAAATTTCGAAAGTGCATCATTTATTAATATGTCGTCTCTGAAATATTTAGAAATTAAAAGCGTAAAAACTTTCAACACATTTAATTTGAGTTTTCACAACGATTCTTCTCTGATTTCTTTGAAAATCACAGATTATAACTTTACATCGTTTCTGCACAAACCATTCCAACAACTGAATCTTTCTGAATTACAAGTGAACTTTGGTAAATTAAAGTTGTTGCCAGAGAATCTCTTTCGTGGTCTTTATGAACTGAAAATATTTGACTTAAGTGACAACTTAATTGAATTCGTTCATTTTTTAGTCTTTCGACATCTCACTTTATTAAAACAGTTGAATTTGGAATGAAATCTGATAAAAAGTTTTCTCAAGACTTCTTGAAAGGTCTTTCGACATTAGAGAATTTTTTTATTTTTGGAAATTTCTCTCAATTGCGCTTTGTATTCTTGTAACCGACAATCTGACAGAATTTCTCGTTTCTTACTTTCCTTTACTTGGAATCGAAAAAGATTTATTTTCCCATTCCATCAACTTAAGAAAGGTTATTTTCTATTCAAACCACGTTCTGCATCTTTCTTCCAATCTGCTCGAAAGTAATAAAAATTTGAAAGTTTTTCAATGCAATTAAAATAAATTATATACACTATAATTTAAATTTTTCGACGGACTTTTCAACTTAAAATAAATTCACAAATAATCTAAAAAATATTCCAGCAGATACTTTTCAACGTTTGTCGAATCGGGATAAACTGGATTTATCAGATAATATTTTCGACTTATAACCTAAAAACATTTTTCTTCCAGCGAATAATTTACGAATTCTCCGTCTTTCTGAAAACAATTTCAGTAAAATTTCTTTCGACTTCAACAATAAACTCGAAGAACTCTATTTGCATAAAGCGTATTTTACAAAATGGCCGAATATAAATTAAACAAAATACAATTTGACTTATGTTTATGCTCAATTTTACCATTTCGGAACTGTCGAATTGCCGGTTTACACTCTAACTTCAACAATACTTTCTTCCATTTTCCAAATTTTGTTGTTTTACCGAACATACCTTCAAAATTAATGAATCTGATCGACGTCTCCGCTGAATTCACGATGTACTTATCAAGAAATAATTAAAATTATGATTACCATTCGCCATTCAAAAATAACAGGTTGCTTCGACACTAAAAGAAAATTACAGATTCCTCAAAAATGTCATGTGAAAAACCTTCCAAAAAAACCTAGTGAAATCCACGACTAAATAAAAACAATTTTTTTATTTAAGTTTTGTTATCCTTTTAATGTTTAGGTGTCATTTATTCGTTAATAATCATTTTTCTAGATATTTTTTGTTTCGGTCATTAAAATATTTTTTATATGTCATATATGACACAATGGATCTCTACCTTCACAAAATGTAAACTTTTCAGTTCAAGAAAAAAATAGTTTATTTGACTGTTATTGTACATTATTCAACAATTTATATTTACATACGATATGCGTTCTAACAACTTTTATTTTATTAAAACACAGAAGTATTTTGTATTTGAAACAGAAGACTTCACGACATCGCTGAAAGCTGACTTATGCCTGTAGAAATATGATATTATTAAGTACAATTCCATTGAATGTCACTAAAGATATATAAACAAACACATGCGACTCGACGGTTCTGTAAATAATCCTTCGCCAGTCTTCACGACGTCGCCAAAAGCTGACTTATTCCTGTAGAAACATGATATTATTAAGTACAATTCCATTGAATGTCACTAAAGATATATAAACAAACACATACCCTCGTGCGACTCGACGGTTCTGTAAATAATCCTTCGCCAGTCTTCACGACGTCGCCAAAAGCTGACTTATTCCTGTAGAAATATAATATTATTTCTACACGCATACGACTCGATGTTTCTGTAAATAGTGTTTGTTTGTCTTTACGAGATTACAGAAAGCTAACGTGTTAGGATGTTAGAAAACGTTGATAGTGTATTGTCGCAGTATTCATTTTCTTAAGAATAGAATACATCGATTTGGAAAATTTTGTGTTTCCTGGAAATTAAAACATTTTCTGAAAATAAGAACTAGGAGAGTTCTTGCTGAATTGCGAAACGTAAGGCGTTTTTCTGAAAGTAAATGATAGGAAAGTTTTCTTAGTCGTAACGGTCATCGACAGGTGGTTGAAATATGACGTTGAGTTTTCGTAAATACAACTTGTGATTGGTCAGCAAACAATCACGCCACACGGCACGACTTGCATAAGACTATGGCTTGGGAATCACAGATTTGTATAACGTTATGGCTGGTGATCGCTAATTGGTCGGCCGGGAACACGCCACAACACGTGTGCATAGTGCACTAATTGGTCGTCGATCTCGATGTCGGCTCTATGAAAATTTTAAGTTGAAGCGAGAGTTGGGAAGTTCACTGTAGTACGGTAACTTCGTAAGTTCAGTTCGACACAAACCGATATACGTCACTCGCGTCTAAGTTAGACTTGGAAGTTGTGTTGTTCAATAATAAATATGACATAAATATTAAAATAAGACATCAATAAAATAAAATAAAATAATAAATATGAAAATAAGACATTTCCTGAAAAGAAGATTTAGCGTATCTTCGAGAGCAAAAATTAATATAAGACATTGTCTTATTTTCGGGGAAACAGGGTAGTATCTTATTTTTCTTTGTCTTATCAGAATAAATTTACAGTATTTTTAACTGAGTTAATCGTCTAAATATGAGAAATAATGTTTCGATATTTATAAATTAGTAAAAATCTAATTCTATATGATTATTTTAATTTAAATAATATGTACGATATCAATCGCCATTTTAAATATTTATACCATAAATTAATTATTTACTTTTTTCGAAGTTTTCTCATAAGAAAATTTATACTTAAAGTAACATATTTCAGAGAAAGAACTCGAAAGGTTTGCTATTTGTACAATTTGGAAATGGCGGGGAACAATTGAAAATATAAAAATAACTAACAATTGTTTCCTAACAATTGAATGTCTCAACAACTTGTATTCGTGACGTAACTGCTACGTCTTATATTTAATTTAATATAAATTTTTTTGTATAGAAATGAAAAATTATTATGACATAACGGAAAACTGGACAGATTAAGTTAAATTTAGAACATTTTATTTTATAAAAATAGCATTCTATATTAGTGTGAGATCGAGTGTAATTTAGCTAGTCGCTTGTAGATAAAGAGAATTGTTTACGCTGTATATCGTCTAAATATAGAAATCTCGGAGCAAAAAAGGTTATTGTATAACGGTTAAATATGTGAATTAAAGCGGTTAAAGTTTATTTAAACTATAAGTAACTTTTGATTTTTTATATTGTGTCATGTTGCTTTTGTCTTTCAAATCATACTTTTTTTTAGTGTAGTTATTTAAGAAGTTATTAGTAGTAATGTGTATTGTTTGTTTATAGAGATCAGCAGCTACATGTGTATGACAGTGGTGTGCAACAAAAATTTGATGACTTTTTTTTCAGCAAGGGCAATAACTATATTTCTATAATTTGGCTGTTGAAAAAAAAAAAAACATTCTGAAAATTTTTATACAAAAGTTTTTGTTTGATGACATACACGTGGCAAATGTAATAGATGTCATTTTTAATTGCATAGCACAAACTACTACTATTAGGTGCGGTTATTAATTTTTTATAAAAGGAAGCATAATCACGTCCTTTACTTAAAAATTACACTCTGGAATAGTGATTCTTTTAAGTGAAGCATATTTTAGCTTTTCTTATACTGTGTAAGAAGCATAACCCATTATATAGGTATGTAAAGGCCGTTTATCATCAAAAAGATAAAATAAATGTTCCTATTAGAATATATTGGGTAAGAATACTCGTAAGTGTGTGTTACATTTGGAAGATTATTGAAAAAGGCCATTGATGCACTGTTTAACTTATTTTTATCTGCAACAACTATGCTTCTCCTTCAATGCCAAGATCTTTCATTCTCAATATGATGTTTTTCACAAAATTATTCAATATGTTACTTGTGTTTGTGCCAATTGGCAATATGTTCACAACCTCTATAAAACTGGTTAACATGCTGATGTTTTAAATACATATTCTCGGTTGGCTGATTAAGGGAGGAAATATATTTGGAAATGCTTTGTTTGAAACATTTTTAACCATATTTCCTCTTTTATAATTTCAAGAATTTGGTTGCGAGTGAATTTTATTTATCAGTACGAGTAAAACAACTACTTCATCATCAGATAATAAGAAATTTTTTTATTAATATATACTTTAACCAGTTTGATGGATGTTTTTTTTGATAGAGGGTTGCTTTTAAAACTATTGCAGGAATGTTTAATAGTGGAGGGACTCGGCAGTTTTAAGATATTGAGGCCCTTAGAAATTGGTAACCATGTGGAGATATTCAGTAAGCTAACAAGTATTATTGTGCTCCAAGAAAATCATTGTCTGTTTATAATAATGGGTAAGAGGCTTGACTGTTCTCCTAAAAATACAATTATAGTTACCTTCTCTGAGAGTATGGTTTTTAAATGATCAAAAGAGCACAATATAATATGAAGAAAATTATCGGTAGAATAATTAGCAGACTCTGACTTTAAGAATTTTACGTTGCATTCTTTCACAATTGTTTCTATAACATTACATGCCATGAAGTGCTTTCAGTTCTGTATTTTTAAAGTATATTTTTGCATGCAAAGTGTCATCTACTTGTACGCTACATCATATGCGGTCAGTATATATTTGTATTCAACAAATTAATTCGGATTTTAGCTATTGTAGATTGCATAATCGACGGCATACTAAATTGATATCGTACAGAGTAATACTAGAAGATATAACAACGATCTTAAAAAGAGGAGTAATTTCATTGTAAACGCTATCTCTATTATGGAGTCCATAATTATACAATCCCGTAAAAAATACAGAGGAAATATCTGAGTTTATTTTAAATTACAACAGGTAAAGTCAGCATTTACTTACGAATGGGGCTAGGAAAAGATCTTTCAATATAAAGACGTCTCTATCGCGAGTTATTGAATTTTAATATCTTATTAATAAAGAAATATTAAGTTAATTACGTTACGTATGTTTTTGTTATTAAAATTTATACGAAAAATGATAAAATGGAAAGAAAAATAACTCACAATATAAACATTCTATTTCAAGATGGCGTCGGTAATAAGAAATGGAACGAATTCGAATCTGTCGACGTTTGTCAAGCTTTACGTTACGAGTTCTACGTCATAGATGTAATATTTCCGGTATTCTAATCACATATTTTTAAAGGAAAGTTCATTTTTTACAATTTTCTTATACCAGATTCGGTAAAATATTTGTTAAATGCTTGGCTAAAAAGAAAATTTATTCTGATAAGCGTAATAAAATTACACGGATAGCACACAATAAAAATTAATTCCTTATAAAATACACGTTAGTGTTTATTTTTTTCGAACTTGCGCATCTTTTATGGACTTTTTCGAACTTCAAAATTAATGTGCTCTTTATAATCGACTAAAATGCTGCCCGATTGGCTGTTTGTTCCTCTCGTGTATTACGTCGTTTATTCGCCCACTAATTAGATTTTCGTATTGCAGTTGTTTGATGATCTTCAGAATTATAGCAATGCGAGTGAACAATGTCCCGCAGGTCACCCAGAAGCTAAGTTCTAAACTTCAATTTACTTATAAATTAGTTTAATTACAAATCTTAATGTATATATTAATTTATATAATAAATTTGATATTTTAACGCGATTTTTAATCTCTATAAATAAATAAATCAATTAATTACCTTGCTGAAGTTTGCTTAAAAGAAAATTCTGCCATAAACTAAAGAGGAAAAATAAACATTTTCGCAATTTTGTCGATTTTGAGATATCTTCTGACAATTGAAAATATACAATACGAAGCTAATGTTACAAAACGATCGAAAACAATATTTAAAAGTTCTTAATTCTTAAGATCCATTCGATATATCGGGAATGCTTCGAGGAATTAAAAAAAAAGGTCCATCGACTGAAAATTGAATGCCGGAAAGCCAACACAATTCTATAACAATCGAGTGCAAAACGTATTGTTGAAGAGCGCTAACAATGAAAAAATGAATTTCATTTTAAATCTTTTTTTATGGTTTTCATAATATTTTTAAAGAATTTTCAAAACTCATTAACCGAGAAAAATGTATTTTTACGAGTTTTAGATAGGAAAAAGTTTCAAGTCTTGATTTATTTACAGAAATTATTTTAAATATATAAAATCGTATCGTACAATGTAAAATTCTAAGTATACAAGTTTTGAGATAGATAAAGTGAGGAATTAGAAGTGTGTAAAGTGGTCAATAAAGTGATCAATCTACTACACCAAATTCGAGTTTACACAACGAGTTTGCGATTTTATAATAAAAATTTGTATAGAAAAGGAAAGTTTCTTGCGTACGCTCTTCGATTGGGAATCTTCAGACAAGAACTGATCTATTTTAAATGTTAATTTTAAAAATTTGTTTATAGCTGACACTTATTCAAAGCATTTTCAACCAATTCATTATGAAAACTGATTACAAACGGAAATGTTGAATGCACTACTTTGTCTTAAACCATAAGAAAATCTAATTAGAAATGCCCATTATTTAAAGTTCGACTGTATATGCTTCTTATATCGATATTAAAAACTTATATTTTAAATATTTTATATGTACTCTAGATATTTAGCTATTAAAATAATTATATTACTGTTACGTTTCTGAAGTTTTAATACTCCCAACTAAAAAATAAAAAATGTATCAATGAGTTGCATAACTTTTCTGGTGTCATTTGAAACTGAGTGTATACCTGTTATGATATTTTATTAAAGAACGTTATATATTTTTCATTATTATAAACTCAGTCCTCCTGCTAACCAAACATATCTGTCCAGTTTCAGAAATTTTCGACAAAAAGCACAGGAGATATTAAGCTTCAAATAAGTTTAAAAAAATTGTGTTTCCCAAATACACACTAACATTTATACATATAAAGAAAAAACTCGAATTTCTTTTGTATTTCTCGATGTTTCAAAGTGTTTTGAGTCCAAAAATGTGAAAAGTTGGGTTAGTCGTTTTTTTGCCAGAGCGGCATACTTTCCCTTTGTTAAAACAGCCAGAAAAGTATGAATAATGTGAGTTTTTCGACAGTACGGATTTGACTTCAGGTCTACCAGAATGGCAGATTGCTCAATTTCTACGACAATTCATCCGGAATTACACATTTTTCAAAGATGGAGAATATATCCTGATGGGCAGACTTATCTGCAAAGTTCGAAATATATTCTCCATCTTTAAGAAAATCTGGGGTCTGTGGTGTACTCTCGGAGAATCCCGTAACAAGGGTAAATAAGAAGTAGCGGCACATTGCGAACACAACAAGAATGCTCGCTAGTCGCCTAGTTCAGAACTACGGTGAGAAGCTGAAAAGAAAGCGCACCACAAAACTCGCAAAAATAATTTTCGAACAAGTATAAATTGTTTTGGGCTGAAAAAACATAACTTAGATGCTTTTGCAACCGAAAACTCGTTTTTATATAGGAATCTCTCCTCACAACAACATTGGAACCATGCAACAACTCCCACGCTTGACATGGGTCGTCCTATATAAACGGTTAAATAGTGATTGACATCTTCTGTCACGCTGTTAACAGTGGATCTCACACATAGATACATGATGAAAACTTGTACGTCCAATTGGTGAAAAAAGAACCAATATCTAGTTGCACATGGGCACCAGTGCAACACACTGTAATAAATTTACGTAGATCGTCAGTGGTAGACACTTTCCATTACTTAATAGAGCTGTTTTTTTTTCTTAATCCTTCTGTAATTGTAACTTATTGTCGAAACTGTATTAAGACTAACGGTATTAAATAATGGTATATCATGAATAGGTAACGTTTTATACAAAAAAGTTCTCTTCCCATTTGCTTATGATGAATTCGGTTTCACTTCTTGAAACAATCAGGGAATGAGTTCCTTGAAATTCTTTTTCAACTTGACGAGAACCTGCTCCATCATTTTGCTTTCTAACATCTTTATAAAAGATATCAATGACATCGTTGGTAATTCTCTTTACTTGACGACAGACCTCTTAAGATACATATGAAGGCATTGTTGTTCGAACTGTGAATAGCAAAAAATTATTAATATCTTTTAGGAAAAAAAGAAGTATAGTAATTTCTAATGTAGTTTAAAGCTTTTTGTGTGGAGAAAGGAAATGACATCCAACAGTTGTCAGATGCTGGCTAGATTGCAGAGCTTGGTTTTACTGTTGATGTGACAGCACTCACGTGCACGGCACGACTGCAAAGTGCAAAGTGCTGTAGAAACTTTATATCACATTTCCGGCTATGGCTTTCTTATATCAAAACGTTTAAAATTTCATCCTCTACAATCCCCTAAATTTTTAAAACGTCATTCTGATACACCCTTATACCTAACTAAATAAAAAGGTGGTATTTATAAA